TTCTAGGGCAGGGGTGGGCAAAATGCAGCCTGCAGGCCGGATGTGGCCTGCCAAGCCATTCTATCCGGCCTGTGGGGTCCCCCCAAAATTTAGAAAATTTAATATTTATCTGCCACTGGCTGCCTGTCATGTGGCCCTTGATGGCTTGCCAAAACTCGGTAAGCGGCCCTCCACCCAAAATAATTGCCTACCCCTGTTCTACGGCATGCAGGATCAGGCCCCTGAAGCCCTGGGACTGATACTTTTCACTTCCCCCATTTGGGACTCCTTGGGTACCTGTTGACACTGGTGTGGGTCCAGGGCTAGGATTGACAATTTAGTTGATTGGTGGCTTCAGACCCAGAAACATACTGGAGTGTCCAACTTGTTCCTGTGTGGTCTCCAGGGTGCTTCTTTGTAAGCAGAGAAAGCTGAGGTTTCCCCATCTACAGAGACATACCCCAGAGATCCCTGGGATATGTCTCTGTAAGTGGGGAACACACCACCTGTTGTCCTGCAAGATAAGTAGGTGAGACAATGGATGACGTGCACTTTGCCCAGTGAAGCAGATCAGTTATGCTATCCTGGCACAGCTGATCTTCATTTGGTGACACCTATTTCTAGTCTGGGAGACTGGAGGGAGGGTTAGCAAATATGCACCTAAATTAATCCCTTATTTGCTGGATCTGTGACCCTCTTCAACCCTCACACGGTGGAAGGATGTATCAGAAGTGATCCCTACAGAAGGAAATCTAAGGGGGAAAGAGATCATTTCTAACTCCTATGTAGCCCTTCTCTGTGTAACCAGGTCAGTTAGGTGGTCCCCTCAAGAGAGGCATTTTTCTGGAGTGAGCTAATTATTTTAAAAATTAAGAAACCTGGAATTGCAATATGCCTGCTCTTTTGAAATGGTTATATTCTGTTATACAACTAAATAGGCCTTGATTCCTGCCTGCAGTCAAGGAATTTACAGTTTAACTTAATAAGTAAGCTACAAAGGAAATGCCTGTATTTCCTTGATCCCAAAAGGCCTTTTCCACAGTTATAGATTTGCAGTCCTTGATTCTTAGGGAAAACCATTATGGTATAGGAAGGGATACTGATGGGTCACTAGACTGGCACTTTTCTTTCTCAGTCAAGTACTAGTGCTTTGACATGGAACAGTGCATTGCTGTTGGAGATGCCATCCTTTGTGAATGTTAAAAATATACAGTTGTCTTTTTTCAAAGAGTAAATAATAATCCCTATGCTTGGGCCAAATTCAGTTTTGTATCATTCCCCCTATAGTTTCAGTTGTATACAATAGTCTTCACATCCAGTCCTTTTAAGGTTGCTATGCTTGATTTGAAAAGGGACTGCACCTCTACGATGGAGGAAACTATTCCTGTGTGTATCTAGTCAAGGAAATATAGATCTTTCAAGATCAGGCTCCATAAATATAGTGTGTTTTATTTTCGTATGTAATCTGTAAACATGGTGATAGACTTTCATACAAATGTATAACCAAGCTTTTTTCTCCAAGTTCCAAAGGTAGAGAATGAGGAAGAGTCAACCACTTTTAACAGCAGCCTAGTCAAGTACCCTTGTAACAGCTTTGGAAAACCAGCCACAGAAATAAAGGTCAACAGGAGAACAGCATTTGGAACCACAACTCTTATTTTGACAGACCTTGGTAGTAAATTCAGTCTCTTAAAAAATGAAAGACGTGAGAATAAGACGCCAGATGGGAGTTCTCCGATTAGTGATGATAATGGTCGGTCACTGAATAACACTTCTAAGTGGAGTGGAAGCAAATACAAATATTATTCAGCCAACTCACCTGTAGGAAATACATCTTCACCTTCCCATCAGCAGTCTAACTTTTCTAATCCTATACAGCAGAAAGAGAAAACAGATCAGTCATCTCCAAACTTACAAAGTAGTTGGAGTTTATCAAGCAGGTATGTAGTCTTCCCAAATTCAAACAAGCTTTTTCTATCAGGTACAAAACTAGTTTGAAAACAAATTTAAGAATTGAAAACTAATCTAAGATTTTTCTTGCTGAAATGACTTGTTTTAGCCATTTGATATTTTACTTTGAGAACCCAGGCAGTTTCCTCATACCTCTTGTGCTGAACTGACAGTACAACATCAAAAGCGCTTGGTCCAACTACAGAAGGATAAGAGACAAAAGAAGATACAGTTGCATGGAGATGGAGACATGGCCAGAATAAATGGAGAGTACAAGAGAACTGGAGCTAGAGTTATGACGAATGACAGTTAAATACAAAGGAAAGAAATAAAAACAGAAAAAAGGCAATGGGAACAGGTGAAATAAGATTTAAAAAATATGAGGGGAGGTTACTGGAAAAGGAGCAGAGAGGATTAGGCACCAGTCTCTAACGCAAGGAGGAATTTAATCAATTTAATCAAACCAATTTAACCAATCAGTAAGAATTACTGAGTATTCTCTCAAATGCTGCCTTCCACCACCCCCCCTCACACACACACACACTCACACTCACACAGAGAGAGAAAGTGGGACAACATTATAGGACAAGGTGATCAAATGATTTGTTGAAAGATCCGGTGCTTAGAAAGGTATGCTTGGAAGTACATTGCTCTGAACTGTCCAAAATGATGATGATATTAATCGGAATGGAAGAAGGGACATACTTCACATTTGAGAACTCCTATTTAAAAAAAAAAAAAAAAAAAAAAAAAAAAAAAAAGGGGG